TTCTTCAGTCTAGAAGAAGCTTCTTGGACAAGCAGCGAAATGTATCAAACCAGAAGAAAAGAAGTCCAGTTGCCATGACTCAGCCTCCAGATACTGATGTAGATACTGAACAGCAGAGGAGAAAGAATAGGATCTCATGAGACTTCATGAACTGAGCAGGTCTCCCACTGCCACTTTCTGGTAATCATCCTATAGGGAAGAACAGAACTAGCGTTCCCCCAGTTATGAAATGCTAAACCCCTTCAACATTAGCTCATGATCAATAATATCAAAGGCTGCTGAGAAATCCAGGAGAACCAAGATGGTAGTGTCCTTGTTTCTAGTAGAAATCAATAATCAGATCATCCAAGGCTTTATCCTTGCTATATCCAGGTCTGAAGCAGATCTAGATATTTGGCTTTTTCCAAGCATGCCTGTAGCTAGATGGCCACTAGCATATTGCCCAAGAAAGGAATACTTGCAATTGGGCTGTAATTGTCCAAAAGTCCAGAGTCTGGAGGATATTGCATCGGTATTTCTTTGAAGGAGGTGGACATAATTTCCTCAGATGGTACTGACCACTTATTGGAGTCACCCAGTAGACTCTCCCTGCTGGATTTTAATGGCCACCATGGACAAGGACCTACAGCCCAAGTCACTGGCCCAATTCCCACCAGCATGTTGTCCTATTCCTGGCTACAACAAATGAAACCAATCCCTTAAACTCAGACCTGATGGCACCCCGATAAATGCAACAGCTTCTCAGGTGACCTGACCCTCAATATGCTTTGGTAACTATTACTGTATACTCTTGAACAGTTGGCTGAATCTGCCTCAGGACTAACCTGGAACAGCCCACCCACCATCCTTGGAAGCCCTGCTGGGGCATTCACTGAAGATGCAGTAATGATGGAGCAGCAAACCTCTTGGCATCACCATCACCTCCATCACATTACACGGTAGGCTTGATTCTGCATTTTGACTTGTCTGTGGTGGAACTCGCTGGAAGATTGGAATCACTTCCATTTGTACCCCAGCTTTCTCCTGGTTCCTTTCGTCACCCAGAATTGCTCAATGAATCAAGGCATAACCAGAGCAGCAATAATGTCAACGGCCTTTCCACAGTGAGGCCACAGCCTCAACAGCCATTGTGCCTGGAAAATCCCTTCCGTTCTATTTTTCTGGCACAGCAGCAAGAAGAGCTGCAAGAAGAATGGAAATTTCCACCAAACATGCTAATTAGTTTAGCATGTTTTCCCATTTTGCTAAGGAGTTTACCTGATTAGGGAAAAAAGATCAGCTTCAACAACCCAACTAAAACTTTGTAAATGAAAAATGGCAGTGAACGTGTCCAAAACCTTTCATGGAGCTGTGCTGGAGGACAAGAGAGAGGCGTGAACATAGGCTCAATTCTTGCTTAGACTTCTTGTGTTACAGAAGGGTGTAATGGGGAAATAGAAGGGGGGGGATGCTGCACAGGGCCCCTTGCCCAAAACTTCAATGAACCTGTGAAATCCCAGCCTGAGTTTTTGTGGCATTTAATTAAGAACATGAAAAGATTCTGAGATTGTATGGGGATATATACATTTAATGACTGAATCGGGTTTATCATCCTTTCTGGGGGAAAGAAAACAGAAAGTCAGGAAAGAGGAATGACAATCCATTGTTTACTGATAAGGGCCCTATAGGGAAGATGGTCAAAATGACATAAGTGTTAACAATATCAGAGCAAATGCAATCCTCCTCTCTTTTCTTTAATTGCCGTAGGCCACCGGACCCCATTCAGCCAAGGAGATGGTTCACAAAAGATTGCCTGATGTGAGTAAGTCCACACTCACACACATGCCTGCACATTCCCCATTATTTGGACTGATCTGAAACAAATCACACCAGCCCTTTAGCAGGTGACGAACCGGGCACAAACAACAATGAAAATACAAGCAGCTTTTCTCTTTTTTTGCAGTGAACCTTCAGTGGACGATGAGCTAAGCCACTGCTGTAAAACCACGCGTAGGGTCTAACCAACTGGGGTCAGCACCTCTTACCTCAGCTTTGCGAATGTTCTCCCTGGTTTCATCGATCTTCTGCTCTAGCTCTGCTCGGCTCTGTTCGGTCGCCACCGGCCCATGGCATTCCAGCTCCTCCAGAGTCTGCCGTAAATGGGGGGGCAGTAAAATTTTTAGTACTTAAGAGAAATCAAGCAGCTGGCTTTGGAAGAGATTCGGAAATGTATTCACTTGCTAAACTTGTACTCCTTGTCTCTAGGAGATCAGGGTAGGTGCAGAGTGCTCTTCTCTCCCATTTTCCCCACGACAGCAACCCAGTGAGTGGGCTGGGCTGAGGGAGAGGGACTGGCCCAGGACCTTCCATGGTTGAGAGGGGATTAGAACTTGAGTCTCCCCAGTCTCCATCTTGCAAGGTCGGCTGGAAGGGAGAGAATGACTGGGACCAAAGTCACCCTGAGTTTTCACAGCTAATTGGGGTTTGAACGTGAATCTCCCCTCTCCTACTCCAACACTTGAACCACAACACCATGCTGGCCCACCCACCATCCCTGGAAGCCTGACTTCCTCAGCCTGGCACCCTGCAAGCATACTGGATCTCAAATCCCACCACTGCCTGCCAGCACTGACTCCGAATTTCAATTTCAACTCACCCGTTGACTGTGGACGATGTTTTTGTGCTCACGTGCTACGCGAGTAGCCCACTTTCTGGCTTCCTTGTTCAAGCTGTGCTCTTCGGTTGTCCCCGTCTCAGATTCCAGTTGCCGGCTCTGAAACACACACGTGCAAAACAAGAAGACTGTGAGGGGGTGGATTTCTTGGACAAAATCCCTCTGCTCATTCCAGAATCACCTGAATTTTTTTCCCCTGGAACTCTAAACAAAGGCTTTTCCCAGTTTCTTGCTATATGCAGTTATGAATAACAAGACAATGTCAAACACAGGAAAAGCCCTGTTTGTTCATGACCTTGGTGACTGGAAAAGGAGGAGGGGAATAGAAATAGGAAATTGGAAAGCTGAACAATTTGTTCTTTATTCTTTTTGAAAACAAGCTGAAGAAAGAAAGAACGAAAGAAAGAGCCTGCAAAATTAAAGATAGTTTCCTTCTAATCCAACCAAGAGTACTGTGACACATTAATGAACCATTTTTGAAGCCGAAGAACACAGAACAGATACAATGCCATCGGCAAAAGAGTAATTTGGGGTAGCATTAACGCACAGAGATTTAATTTATCTGTTTTGCACGGCATTTGCCAAAACATCCCTATTTTATAACCAACAATAGATTGGTGAACGTCTAAACAACAGAAATGGTTTCACAGAAATTTTTAATACTTACCAACCCAGTCCATGCATGTACCCAAAAGAAAAAGTGTTTTTTATCCTCCCACGTCCCAGAACTACTCCCAACCGTCAAGCACATGCAATGGATCATTTGTCTGCAGCTTGGGAGAGGCTGGTTCTCACATCACGACTCCATTCACAGGAATCGGCACATGAAAAAGGCCCAGTGATGGGACAACCATCTTTTGCAAATGAGCTTTTAAAGCCTGCAAAAAGGAAGGGAGGTTCTGGAAGAGGGATATAATAAAGGGAGAAGCATTCAAACCCAAAATGCCTGCATATCCAAAAAGTGGGACAAAAACTTCAAAGGAGAGAAGCCACGCCACGCTGGGAAAATAAGGTCTGTTTCACGGCAGCAAGTTCTTGCAGCTGAAGAAAATAGAAAGGCAAACCTCCTGTCCTAATAATTTTTGGCTTCTTTCTTCTTTTTGCCAGCAAACTATCTTGCAGAGGCAGGTATAAAATATGTCCTAGAACAGAAGAGTAACATTTCACACCTATACCTGCTCTCTGTAGGCTCTAATTCTTCATGCTGTGCATGAATAGCTCCCTTCTCTTTAAAGCGTCGGCAGAAAATTCCCACTCTCCTACATGCAGCTGTGTCCCACTGGCGGAGCGTGACCCCCAGAGAAGACACCCCACCTTTCAGGGCCCATCAGCTCTCAGGAGCCC